TGGGCCACGTTCGCCGCGTCCGCCGCCCGCCGGCCGGAGGCCTGTTTCAATTCAGCGCGGCGCAGCGCCAATCGCGGCGCTCCGGGGGCGTTCGCGGCGCGGCGGCGGGCGGCGCGCCGGCGCCCGGCCTCCCGCCGGTAGGCCTTTCAGCGCGCGGCGCGATGAAGGAGCCGGGAAATAAGTCGGCCCGGTACCAGTGGAGGGTGGAGGCGCCGCCGGATGGGTGGCGGCTCCATCCTTTAGTGTTGAACGCTCGCGACAACGGAGGGCCGCGCGGACACGTCACACACGCCGGTCGTCGAGGTCACCAACTGGGCAGCTCGAGCTTGGCAACCCTGCTCTGCGGATGTGTCACCTCCTGTCACCTCACCTGTGTGACTGTGGGACGTAGGGGCGAGTGGAGGGACGCGCTTCTCACTGGCCACTGGCCGGCACTGGCTCATACAGTGTGCCTTCAGGGTACGCGCGGTCCGTGAGTCCCTCTGATTGGATGGGACGGCACCGCTTAAGCCAATTTGTGTCGTGATGGACGAGCCGGACCCGCACGCTAGCCCCCCTCCCCGCCGTCTCTGGGGCGGCGGTGCCGGATATGCGGATTGGGCGGCACGGTGCACCACGGAGTGATGCGGCGGCCATGAACCCACGAGCCCGCTTGGTTACAGAAAAAAACTGTGGCGGAATTCGCAGCAACCTCTGCTTGGCTTTGCCGCACCTGGATGCCTTCGACTGCGGACCTGAAGAGAGTCGTTGTTGAAGCCCCGCTGCGCTGGTCCGCATTTGGCGCGCGATGACATTGCGTGTCCTGTGCTCGTGCACCGTGCAGCTGCATGTTTTTTACTAAGCAAACAAGGAGTGCTGCGGAACCGCTCTGTGGCGGACAGTCCGGCATGCCTTTCGCTCTGTGGCAGACGGTCCGGCATGCATTTCGCTCTGTGGCAGACAGTCCGGCATGCCTTTCGCTCTGTGGCAGACGGTCCGGCATGCCTTTCGCTCTGTGGCAGACGGTCCGGCATGCCTTTCGCTCCGTGGCGGCAGCCCGGCATGCCTTTCGCTCTGTGGCCCGTCCTCGCTGTAGCTGGTGAGTCGGCGCGACACGGTGCACGACCGTTTCAACATGGCGTGCGTATGAGCGCGTGTCTTGCAACTTGCAAGTGCTACACCGGCAGGCCGTGTCCGTTATCAGTTCAGCCATCTCGGCCCGCGACGAGGCGTGTGTGGTCGCGGCCGGGCCCGTCCATTCATTCCTCAGTCATACCACATCTGATGGCGGGTCGGGTTCGGACCAGCCAGACCGGGATCCTCCCGACCCCGGTGCGACTGCGACGTCGGAGTCGGGCTGGGCGACACCGCGAGCGCTGGCGCGCGCCACCCGCCACCGCTGCGCTCCGGCTGTGCGGCGCGGCTCGCCAGGGCCCAACCGCCGCGTGTCCTGCAGCCTGTTATCAGCGTCACGTGTCATTGTTTACGCCTGCAGCCTTCGCCGGGAGAGGGATTTCCGGTCATTGTTTTTCTTGATTCGGGTGATAATGTGGAAGCTCATGATAATAGAGATTGGAACCTGTCACATGTGGTACTTAAAATCTGCCTCTTTCACAGCTGTCAAATTTGTGGCGTCTGCCTGAAGACGTATTCCGCGTTTAATTATATGCTACAATCCTGATTGGTAACTGTCTCCCGAACATAGTAATTATAAGCCTGGTTGGATCCGATTGTTCGCGCATACGCCAGTGAGGCGGGAGGACTCAAGTGTGCGTCATTCAGGTAGTGTTCATGAGTAAGTGCCCAAATCATGCGTGGTTATCAAACTACCGATAGTCATACGTGTGTCTTGTGGCAAGACTGACCCGTGGATGTCGTATTTCACCAAATGTAACGACCTGCGCGGTATCGCAGTAAATGTCACAATGCTTAGCCCAAGCGCTTTTGTATCTCTTCAGCTCCGTCCATCCCCAGTGTATAAGGTTCTCAGCAGGCTCTGTGAGTTTCTCAAACTGGAAAAGATGCGTGTACGTCCTGCGGTAGGGCGTGCGCATATCACTACCAATTTGGGGACCGCAAACTTGCGCCATAATGTGCGCCTCACCCGACTCAAACGGCCTCACTGACGCATGCGCGAGCAATCGGATCCAGCCAGCCTTGGACACACCATGGTGTGGAGACAGTCGCTAATACCTCAGGAAGCTGCGGGTGCTTCTTAAAAATGCAAATTTCTACAGGCTGCGATGTGTTAAAAACAGCATTTATGAATGTGTTCCATTACTTTACAGATATTTGAAGATTTAAACACTGCTGGCTTGTAGTCAGCGTTTATCTGCTTAGCAAAACATTTTCCCGACAGCCCCTTGAAAGGGGGGCGCGCTTCTTCAAATTACAGAATGACCCGCACCTGCTGGTGTCACTTAAATGGCGTGTTTAGCCGCTGTGAGTAGGGATGGAAGGTCTGCATCTCCAGCTCCCAGAGCACAAAAGTGTCCGATAATTTTCAACAATACTTGCTAGATATGGCGCGAGCCTGGCGTGTTTTTTTGGTACCCATATATGCACTTTTACAAATGGCATTTCAGGTAAAACGCCCCGCATAATCCCCCGGCATGTCCTGTAATCGTGTAATCCTGTTTGCTATGTTTTTACGTATTATGTAGTATGTAAGTATTCCTAAATGGCCCCACGACCAACATCTAGACCAAGTTCAAGGACGGATAGTGTCAAGGAACCATTCATAAATCATTATTTGTTGCAACCTACCCGTTTTGCTGCTTTCCAAGCATTTTGGTGATGCCACTCTTCAATAGTCGACACTCAACTCACTCACTCAACTCACTCACAGAACTAGACTCACTCAACAGTGGTGTCGAATCGTCAGCTGGGAAATTGCAAAAATGAAGCGGTTGAGATGCGTGGTGTGCTCAGGCAACATTCCGTATGTTATGCATACAGGTGGGAGGTGATCCTACACCTCACGTTTATCGTTACGGGTAGGTGTAACTTGAGGAATAAACACCAGTTTTCACGTGAGTGGCCTCGTCGGGCCGGCCCCTTTGGCATGGTTTCTGGAAATTACTCTCTTAGAATGGCTGATCGTAGCGTTATGCAGTTTTCGGTAACTTTAAACACGTAACTTTTAATTGTTGCCCTTTACAAATTGCAATGTTTTGAATAATTAAGCCGTCCGATCTGGTATAATTTTCCTGCACTACCGCACAGGGGAATAGAAGGCGCCTTTTCTATTCATTTGATATAGGAAGCGTACAACTTACCATTCGCTAAAAGCTGCACAACATGGCAAAACCCTGGGCCCAAATTTCGATGACACAACGTTGCAGCAGCACGAGACAAAGTTTGACGGAGAAAAAGCCGGACAATC